TAGTTTGTTATGGGTGCCGAGAGCTCTTAGGGGACCGCTTTCCTCCTTCCAGAGCTACAATTCCCAGAGTTCCCTGGGAAGAGGGATTGAATGTTAAACCACTGTGAGGCTGAAGGTAAAGGTAAAGGTAAAGGGACCCCTGACCATTAGGTCCAGTCGTGGCCAACTCTGGGGTTGTGGCGCTCATCTCACTTTATTGGCCGAGGGAGCTGGCCTACAGCTTCCGGGTCATGTGTCCACCATGACTAAGCCACTTCTGGCGAACCAGAGCAGCGCACGGAAACGCCGTTTACCTTCCCGCCGGAGCGATACCTATTTATCTACTTGCACTTGGACGTGCTTTTGAACTGCTAGGTTGGCAGGAGCAGGGACCGAGCAATGGGAGCTCACCCTGTCGCGGGGATTCAAACCGCTGACCTTCTGATCGGCAAGTCCTAGGCTCTGTGATTTAACCCACAGTGCCACCTGCGTCCCACTGTGAGGCTGAAGAGGTGCATAAATGCACTTTTCGACCTGGCACCAGTGCACGTCTGACCCCAGGGAAACTTGTCTCCTCGTTGCCTTCCCCTGGGATTATTTCATTTACCAGATTGAGTTTGCTTTGCCCCCTCTTTCTCCCCCAACCCTTTCCCCTTTCGTGTCGTAAGGCATTGAGATTGTTTCATCAATGACACACTTTCGGAAGCTTTCCAGCCGAAGAGCGGAGGTAGAAACGCTCCGTCCACAGGCCCGAAAAGAATCCCGCAACATCCTCCTCCTTTTCTGCTGGACAGATGCCCAAACCCCAGGCACTTCCAGATAATAAGAGCTCAAACGTTTGTCTCTAAGGCTCTGGAAGCTGCCGTTTCCCCCTTGCTGACGACAGTGTCCCCCTGTTTTCGCTGCAGGGGTGGGTGTGACCAGTAAGACAGAGACAGGGCTCTCTGTCGAGACAACTCCTTCACAAGTGGTTCCTTTCACAACCCCCCTTCCCCTCCGCACGTCTTTGCAAGAGGAAACTTTTTGGCACGCCACAATTCTTCGGGCAAAATTTATAATCCTCCAGGGGAGCCGATGCCCAGGGTTTTTGCCTCCACGAGCCCTCGCAACGTTTCCTGCGGGCCGGAGGGATGCTTTGATGCTGCACGGGGAAGCCAGCGGTCTCTCCTGCTCAAGGGAAGGAGCCATCCAGTCTCACCTCCTTCTCTTCCGCCCCGCGGTGACCTCCTGAGGAAATGGCTTTCTCTCCTGAAGCACGTGGCTCCTGCCTAGCAGGATCCTTCATCTCTTGCATTGCATTCATTCATTGCAAAAGGATTCCTTCGCTTCCTCCAATGGTTCTATTTTGTATTTCATTCATTCATTCATTCATTCATTCATTCATTCATTCATAATAATGCAAGGAAAGGCATGCTGCATCTAGGGCAGGGGTTGGCAAATAAGGGCCGCGGGCCAGATCAGGCCCAATTGCCTTCAGGATCCAGCCCACGGACTGTCCATGGATCGGCGTGGGGATTCTGTTCGTTTGGGCTGTGCCATCCCCCCCCAGCGCCATTCCATTCCCTCCCTCTCCCCCAAACACACCGCGGCGGCTCCTCTTCCCTCCTTCCTCCTGGCTTCTCCCTGCCCTGCCTAGAGGAGGAAGGGGGCTGGGCTGAGCTGCCTGAGCACCATTGTACTATTCTATGATTGGGCTGGAAAAACAATCTCTCAAAGGACCTGTTGATGGCATTTTACCATTGTACTGTGGAGAGTGTATTAACTTATGGTCTGTGTGTGTGGTTTGGGAGCTGCACGGCCAGGGAAAAAACAATGCTGTCCAGGGTTGTAAAGACTGCGGAGAGAATAATTGGGCGCACTCTTCCCACCTTGGATCAAATCTATGCTTCCGGGTGCCATAAGAAAGCTGCAGGGATAGCGCAGGATAGTGCGCACCCCGGAAATGATCTCTTTCAGCTTCTGCCTTCTGGAAGAAGGTACAGGGTTATAAAGACTAGGACTGGCCGCCTGAGAAACAGTTTCTACCCAAATGCGAATTTGGTTTTTAACGCAGTGTAAGGAGTCTCTATGTGAGTATATTGTATTCAATTCAGGGGTATCAGAATTTTTAGGGGTTAACCAGGCTGGGATAGCTGGGATAGCAGGCTTGTTGGTTTTTGAATGTCTGATGTAGATTTTTTCAATTTCGTTGTTCTGTATGAGACAATGACAATAAAGATTATCGTATTGTACCATTTTAAGCAGCCCCTCTCCGGAGCCAGCCCTTTCGTGTCGCTCATCTTCCCTCTGCCGCTGCTGCTCTGGTGCTCCTGCGGGCCAGAGAGCGGAGCAGACGACCTCACTCTGCGGCCCGCCACAAGGTCTGAGGGACAGTGGACTGTCCCGCTGCTAAATTTTTTTGCTGACCCCTGTTCTAGGGCTCTGGAAAGGCCTGTTTGGTTTCCTGCAATGGCAACCAGTGTCTCGGGCGAAAGCTCACTTCTTTCCAAGAGTTCTCCCCTGGCTCGTAAAATATTGGTGCCTGCACACAGTGGCCTAGCATGGGTTGCTAGCTCCTGGCGCCGCGTGGCAGGAGGGAAACAGATGACGTATGCATGAACATTCAACTGCCTAACAGTGCCCACATCACTCAGGAGATCGCAGCCAGAGGGATAAGAAAAAAAGTAATTCTGTTGTTTGGGGAGGTCACTTCCTGGTTTCCACTGAGAAGCCGCTTTTCATGGAGCCCAGCGACGGAAGCAGCTGTATTGGGGCAGCACCAGGTGTTGACACTTTAAGATTCGAAACAAGGCAGTTTCGTACGGAGGACATTCCCTCCCTGGCTTCCTGTTGCATCGGAACAGAGGCGATGATGTTTCCAATCTTAATGCGAGAGAGCAAGTTGATTTCCCCCTTTTCAATGCAAACTGTCCAAATGTGTTGCTGAGATCAAGACAGAATTCGGAGAGCAATCCCATAATTTCAGGATAGCGGCGCCATCTGCTGGCGCTCTTGTTAAGGCAGGCACTTCTTCCACATCAAAGACTCTCATATACAGCAAAGGCCATTCCATACGGACTGCTCATATTAATTCATACATTGATCAGGAAACAGGGAAACATTTTACCGCTGGAGATAAAAGCATGTACATAAACACCAAAAAACAATGCAATTTTAAGGGTCAGGCCGTCCATGCGCATTTAAAGCACATTTCTCTCCCACCCAAAATAATGCTGGGAATTGGAGTTTAAGGGTGCTGGACAGTGCAGGGTAAGCTACAATTCCCAGGATTCTTTGGGGATGTGTACTTTAAATGTATTATTTCAGAGAATTTATACACTGCTTGATTGCCAGAGCAGCGATGTCATGATGGCCACGTAACCCGGAAGTGTCTCCGGACAGCGCTGGCCCCCGGCCTCTTGAGTGAGATGGGCGCACAACCCTAGAGTCTGTCAAGACTGGCCCGTACGGGCAGGGGTACCTTACCTTTACCTGATTGTAAAAAAAAAAAGACCCTCAAAAAAGTTTGCAAAAAAGATGATAAAATTATCAATACCAAAAATTACAGTAGTAAGAATTTAAGACTTTCAAATTGTTAAAATGAACAAAAGAGAGATGAAAACGTACATCAGCTTTCTAAACATCTATGAGGCCTTGTCTAAAAAAAAATCTTGTTTTTTGCAGGTGCCAAAAAGAGCACAGTGAAGGCAACTGCCTGATGTCAATAAACAGGGAGTTTCAAAGGATGGATGCTGCCACACATAATAATAATAATAATAATAATAATAATAATAATAATTTATTATTTATACCCCACCCATCTGGCTGGGTTTCCCCAGCTACTCTGGGCAGCTTCCAACGGAATATTAAAATACAATAACCTATTAAAAATTAAAAGCTTCCCTAAATAGGGCTGCCTTCAGATGTCTTCTAAAAGTCTGGTAGTTGTTTTTCTCTTTGACATCTGATGGGAGGGTGTTCCACAAGGCGGGTGCCACCACCGAGAAGGCCCTCTGCCTGGCTCCCTGTAACCTCGCTTCTTGCAGTGAGGGAACCGCCAGAAGGCCCTCGGCGCTGGACCTCAGTGTCTGGGCAGAACGATGGGGGTGGAGACGCTCCTTCAGGTATACTGGACCGAGGCCGTTTAGGGCTTTAAAGGTCAGCACCAACACTTTGAATTGTGCTCGGAAACTGTCGAGTTCTCACAAATGCGGAATGCACAGCTTTGATTTGTGCAGGCGTTATTCCACTTCCTGCCGTTTCTAAATTGGAGCTAACAAGATTGCAGAATAGGCCAATCCTGGGAGCAGGAATTGATTTAGCCGGTAAGCCAAGACAGGGCAGAGAAATGAAGCCAGCTGTGCAAGCAACACCTGGAAGCTGCCGGAAGTTGCCAGGGCCCAAACACTCTGGGAGGGTCCGCCGGTGCCTGAACTCTGCCCCTCTGCCTGCCTAGTCCATGTGGTTTTCAGCAGGTTGCCAGCAGGTAAACCTATAGGCAGGGAAGCAGTGTTGTGTAGTGGTTAGAGTGTCCTGGCAAACTAGGGTTCAAAGCTCACTGGGTGACCTTGGGCCAGCCACTGCCTCTCAGCCTAACCCTACCTCACAGGGTTGTTGTAAAAGCAGGCACACCCAAACTTGGCCCTCCAGATATTTTGGGACTACAACTCCCATCATCCCTAGCTAACAGGGCCAGTGGTCAGGGATGATGGGAATTGTAGTCCCAAAACAGCTGGAGGGCCAAGACTGGGGATGCCTGTTGTAAAAGCACAAAAATGGAGAGTAGTAGTGAAACCATGCGGATAAGCTTTGGCTCCTCAGAGGAAGGGTGAAATATAAATGTAATAAAAATAAATAAAAGCCTCCATGGTTATACCACCCCCTTCCTTCCCTGCTAAACTCCAGATGAGAGCAACAAGGCCTGACAGGATGGGCAAAATCTTTTCACATTAAGTTACGCATTTCGATCCCGTCTCTCAGTCAAGAGAACCTCAAGACGGCAACTTTTTAAACAGAATTAAACAATTAAAAAACCCAACAACTTCTGATACATTTTCCTTTATTCATTTATAGGCTTCTTTTCAAACTTTCCGAAGCCTATTGTGAAAAGTCCATATAAAGTGTTTTACGATATAAAAAACGTTTTTTTAAAAAAAATATACAAAAGCCAGATGACTAAAGCCAGGAGGAGAAATTACCTGAGGTAAAAACAGTCTCTGTTTCTGTTGCGATTCAACAGTCTCCTTATCGGAAGCCTGCCATCCTGAGAGCAAAGCTCATCTCCTTGAGGAACATAAGAAGAGCGTGGCAGGATGAGGCCAATGGCCCGTCTAGTCCAGCATCCTGTTCTTGCAGGGGCCAACCCGAGGCCCGTGGGAAACCCACAGGCAGGATTCGAACACAAGATCAACTCTCCCCTCCTGAGGACCGCTTGGTCCCAAGAGCATCCCTACCGCAAATCAGGCAGGGAGGAACCCAGGTAAGTGCGCAAGTCGCTGATGGTGGAGCAGATGATTTTAGCTGGGATGGTCTCTTTGCCCAGCCGCTTGTAGGCTGTGTAACGGTGGCACCCTCCAAAGGAGTAGAAGTAGTCGCCCCCTTCTCGGCCTTTGATCCAGAGGACATCTATCGGGGGCACGCGGTCAGCTTCTTCCTAGGAGGGTGAGAGATGGAGTAAAGGGTGATTCGTAAAGAAGGTAAATAATTTAAAAAAGGAAGCTGTCTTCAGGGGCGGAGCAAGGTGGGTGTTAACCTGAGGTACAATTTCTGGGTTAGCGGAGTCTGTCACCTGAAGCATCTGTAACCCGACGTAAAAAGGTAAAGGGACCCCTGACCATTAGGTCCAGTCACAGACGACTCTGGGGTTGCGGCGCTCATCTTGCTTTACTGGCCGAGGGAGCCGGCGTACAGCTTCCAGGTCATGTGGCCAGCATGACTAAGCCACTTCTGGCAAACCAGAGCGGCGCATGGAAACGCCGTTTACCTTCCCGCCGGAGCGGAACCTATTTATCCACTTGCACTTGGACGTGCTTTCGAACTGCTAGGTTGGCAGGAGTAACCCGAGGTACCACTGTAGTAAATCCGGCACTGCGACACGTGCGAAGATCAGGTTGACCCCTGAGTCTCTGTCTCTTTTTTTAAAAAAATGATATTTATTAAAGTTTCAAACAAAAATACAATAATACGAAAAAGATAAGAAAAAGAAAAAAGAAAATACAAAAAGCAGAAAAATAAAATAACAATTAAAAACAAATCAGTCTTTCCATGTCTTGTCTTTCATTTACTTGTTTCCCTGACCTCCTCACACCTCCCTTTTTTGCATTCCAGTTCAGTTAGTTAATTCAGCAAATCCTTTCCCTCTTTGTTTTTATCTTAGTCCTTTATCTTAATATATTATAACTTTAAATTCACATCTATTAGCAATCCATTTTTACATACACCTTTATAACATTGCTGCTAGAACCACTTAACTTCATTCCAACATCGTTCTAACATTCATTAATTTTACAGTATTTCTGTAGATAATCTTTGAATTTCTTCTGAGTCTTTGTCTCTCTCTGTGTGTTTTTTGCCTGATGCCGTACCTGGATGGTGCTCATGAGGCTCTCCACCTTCCCTTCCTCCAAGACAGGAGGGATGGGTCTGATGATCACCTTCATGGGCACCTCGTGGACCGCGGCGATGTTGTCCGAATGGATGCTGCGCCCTGCGCCGCCTTCGCTTGCCATGCTGGCGACGTTCTCGGCCCCGATGCGCCTCCACCTTCCCAGATCCAGCCCCAGCAGCTCCCTCCAAGCTCGCGATCTCACTCCCCACATCCCGGGGCTCATATAACGCCGTCCATCTGGCTTGCACCGGATCGCACCACCGCTGGGCCGCGGGGTGGACGAGAGAGAGAGAGGAAGGGAAAGAGGAGGCGGAGGAGCCACAGACACCCCCCACTTGCCTGGGCTTCAGGACGCCTTGTGAACCCGATCCCCGACGCCGGGCTTGCAAGAGAGCAAGGGATCCCCGCAGGATCCCGACACCCGTTCCCCCCTGCAGTCCCCAATGGAAGCGTCCCGTCCGGATGAATCACACGCGCACGTGGGCAAAGCGCTTTTCCTGGGCTGGGTCATAAGTTTTTTGGCTGAGTCACGATGAGGCAGCAGAAAAGTCGGCGAAGGAGGAAGCGGGGCGCTGCAGCAGCAGCCAAGGCTCGATCTGGACCGGGGATCAGACCCGGAACCGGTTTCCACTCGTCCTGGGTGGGAGGAAGGGCCGGGGGAATTCCTCCGTACGGAGGTTCGGGGAGAGCCCCGGCACTTGTTCCCCGGGAGGGACAGGCAGGTCGCTTTCGGCTGCCGAAACTTCCAGCTGCTGATCCTTTTGGGAAGAGGGACTGTAATAATAATAATAATAATAATAATAATAATAATAATAATAATAATAATAATACAGTGGTACCTCGGGTTACATACGCTTCAGGTTACAGACGCTTCAGGTTACAGACTCCAATAACCCAGAAATAGTACCTCGGGTTAATAATAATAATAATAATAATTTATTATTTGTACCCCGCCCATCTGGCTGGGTTTCCCCAGCCACTCTGGGCGGCTTCCTACAAAGATGAAAAATACACAAAAATGTCACATATTAAAAACTTCCCTGAACAGGGCTGCCTTCAGATGTCTTCTGAATGTCAGGTAGTTGTTTATCGCTTTGACATCTGATGGGAGGGCGTTCCACAGGGCAGGCGCCACTACCGAGAAGGCCCTCTGCCTGGTTCCCTGTAACTGGCCTCTCGCAGTGAGGGAACCGCCAGAAGGCCCTCGGTGCTGGACCTCAGTGTCCGGGCAGAACTATGGGGGAGGAGACGCTCCTTCAGATATACTGGACCGAGGCCATTTAGGGCTTTAAAGTTTTAAGAACTTTGCTTCAGGATGAGAACAGAAATCGTGCTCCGGTGGTGCAGCGGCCGCGGGAGGCCCCATTAGCTAAAATGGTGCTTCAGGTTAAGAACAGTTTCAGGTTAAGAACGGACCTCCGGAACGAATTAAGTACTTAACCCGAGGTACCACTGTAATTGTTGTTGTTATTTAGTCGTTTAGTCGTGTCCCGACTCTTCGTGACCCCCTGGACCAGAGCACGCCAGGCACTCCTGTCTTCCACTGCCTCTCGCAGTTTGGTCAAACTCATGCTGGGAGCTTCGAGAACACTGTCCAGCCACCTCGTCCTCTGCCATCCCCTTCTCCTTGTGCCCTTTCTCAACATCAGGGTCTTTTCCAGGGAGTCTTCTCTTCTCATGAGGTGGCCAAAGTCTTGGAACCTCAGCTTCACTATCTGTCCTTCCAGTGAGCACTCAGGGCTGATTTCCTCAAGAATGGATAGGTTTGATCTTCTTGCAGTCCATGGGACTCTCCAGAGTCTCCTCCAGCACCAGAATTCAAAAGCATCAATTCTTTGGTGATCAGCCTTCTTTATGGTCCAGCTCTCACTTCCATACATCACTACTGGGAAAATCCTTTAAGGAAGAGGAATTGATGGTTAGAGACCAGTCTGAGAAGAATCGTAGCTCTGTGGCATCCGGGCTGGAACGCCCAATGGGCAGAGTAAACACGTGGTTGGGTCTCACAAAGCAGAGTCGCCAAAAATAAATGTGGTGATCAGGGCCGGATTTAGATTGGATGAGGCCGTAAGCCATGGGTAGGCAAACTAAGGACCGGGGGTTGGATGAGGCCCAAGCACCTTCTAAATCCGGCCCGTGGACAGTCCGGGAATCAGTGTGTTTTTCCATTAGAATGTGTCCTTTTATTTAAAATGCATCTCTGGGTTATTTGTGGGGCAAAGGAATTCGTTCATTTCCCTCTCCTCCCCCAAAATATAGTCTGCCCCCCCCAAGGTCTGAGGGGCCCCCTGCTGAAAAAGTTTGCTGACCCCTGCTCTAAGCTCCTGAAGGTAATGGGGCCCTTTATATGTAAAGCTGTCCTTTGTCAACAACAAATTGCCACTGCTTTTTTGTGTTGAATATATACTATAAGGTAATGTATGGACCTAATAGGTATGTAAAGTCATTTGCACATAACAAATAGGAGCCTACACAACACAAAACACTGTTGCTGTATGTAGGTTTTGTTGTATTTGTTTTTTTATCTTATATTTTGGAAATGCACATCCAATTTTTTCCCCCTTTAATTTTTTTTGGGGGCCCCCAAGAGAGTGGGGCCCTAAGCTACAGCTTGTTTAGCTTATACGTGAATCTGACACTGGTGGGGAGTTTTTTTTGGGGGGGGATTAATTATTTATACCCAATTAGCCATGGGCGTAGCCAGGATTTTTGTTACGGCGGAGCAGGACTTTTGGTTTTTTTTGGGGGGGGCAGAACAGACGTGATCGGTCAGTTCAGTATTTCTATTGATCTAGGGGGGCAGTTGCCCCCTGCCCTCCCCCCCGGCTACACCCATGCAATTAGCCATCCTGGGAAAAATCAGGGGGTTGTTAGACTTCCTTACATGCCTCCCCACAATTTTCTAAATACAGTGGTACCTCCGGTTACATACGCTTCAGGTTACAGACTCCACTAACCCAGAAATAGTGCTTCAGGTTAAGAACTTTGCTTCAGGATAAGAACAGAAATTGTACAGCGGCGGCAGCAGGAGGCCCCATTAGCTAAAGTGGTGCTTCAGGTTAAGAACAGTTTCAGGTTAAGTACGGACCTCCAGAATGAATTAAGTTCTTAACCCGAGGTACCACTGTAATGTTAGGAGATCAGATCTGGTCCTGTGTTGCAAAGGACATGTTTGTATTTCAGCATAGCTGTAAGCTTTGTGCCATTTCAAAAAATAATGTTTTATTTTACAGTTTAGTATTTTTTAATTCAAATTTCCTATGTGTGGTGTGGGCACCACAGTCTTTTCAGCCCTCTGAAGGTCTGGGTCTTGATCTGGAACAGAGTGTTGAAATTTTCCCTGCCCTGGTTCCTTGGTGCTTAAATTCTCTCTCCCCCTTTTCCAAAGTGCACCTTGTGATATTTATTGTGTCTCCCCCTTTTGCCTGCAGCATAAATCTGCGCTGTTTGAAGTTTCTTAATCTTTCCCTTAGGCTTCAGTCTTTAGAGACTTCCTTAATTTTAAAAGCATTAGGTGGGTAAATGTCATGTTTTATGTACTGTACTTCCTGATTTCACAATGATGGTTGGCCCCGTTCATGACATCAGGCTATTGCATTATGCTTCCTTCTTGTCACTAAGACCGAGGGCCAAACACGATGGTTGCTTGTTCATCTATTTCCCCTATTAGTCAAGAGGTCTAGCTCAAGGGTAGGCAAACTAAGGCCTGGAGGCCGGATCCGGCCCAATCGCCTTCTCAATGTGGCCTGGGATGGTCCAGGAATCTGTGTGTTTTTACATAAGTAGAATGTGTGCTTTTATTTAAATGCATCTCTGGGTTATTTGTGGGGCATAGGAATTCGTTCATCCCCCCCCCCCAAAAAAAATATAGTCTGGCCCCCCACAAGGTCTGAGCATAGCTGTCAACTTTTCCATTTTCTTGCGAGGAATCCTATTCAGAATAAGGGACTTTCCCTTTTAAAAAGGGAAACGTTGACAGCTATGGGTCTGAGGGACAGTGGACCGACCCCCTGCTGAAAAAAGTTGCTGACCCCTGGAAATGCTTAACCTTCAAAATACCTTTTTGCTGAAGGATTGTTATGGAAGAACTATACAATTTTTTTGGGGGGGGGGTGAGATAGATCATGTTGAAAGAACCTCTGTCTATAGGTGTATCCGCTGCTAAAAGAACCTCCATCTTCATAAGAAGTCTATCCCACTGCAAGCTGGTTGCTGCGGACAAACTGTAGAAGCCTTTGAGGGATCCAAAATCTCCATAATGAGGACTTTGCAGCTGGGAAGGTGGATTTGCAGGAGTGGGATGATAGGGGAATTTGGATCTGCTTGGGAAGAAGTCAAGCTATCCTAGTATTGTTCCCGACGATGTACCGTATTTTTCGCTCTATAGGACACACTTTCCCCCCTCCAAAAATTAAGGGAAAATGTGTGTGCGTCCTATGGAGCAAATGCAGGCTCCTTGGCTTCAGCGATAGCAACGCGAAGCCTCCGAAGCACAGAGGGAACGCTCCCTCCGCGCTCCGGAGGCTTCACGTTGCTTTTGCTGAAGCCTGGAGAGCGAGAGGGGTCGGTGTGCACCGACCCCCCTCGCTCTCCAGGCTTCAGGGCTAGCCGCCTGAAGCCTTCGGAGCGCAGCGCGAGTTCCCGCTGTGCTCCGCAGGCTTCAGGTTCCTTTTGCTGAATCAGGGATGTTTGAGGCTGGCGGTGGGGGAAATCAGTGCTTTCCCCCACCGCCAGCCCCATAAGCTCGGGGGCAGCGGGAAGGCTGCGTGCTTCCCCCCGCCAGCCCCAGAGAGCAGGTCGAAAGGAACCCGAAGCCTCCGGAGCGCAGCGGGAATTCACTGAAGGCGAGTGAACGCACTGAACACACTTTGTTTTAGAGGGGGAGAGCAAGAAAAAAAATTCTCCCCCTCTCTGCGCAGCGCCCCTTCAGCGAAGCGGCAGGAGAAATGGAAGGGGCACCCCTCTAAAACAAGGTGCGTCCTATGGTCGGGTGCGTCCTATAGAGCAAAAAATACGGTATGCCGCACCATCAATTGGGCAATGTACGTTTGCAGGGTTTTGTGAGCAAAACCAAGACAACCCACATCTCTTGGTGGTGGGTGCAATTTTTGTTCTCAAAGGGAACAAATGGCATTTGGGTTTTCTGAGGCATGCATCTACTCTTTTAAAAACAGGTGGTCTTTTCAGCAAAGGAGGTGTGACAAGGGTGGGATAACTGATGCGATCCTCCCTGATCTGGGGCCAGCATTCGGGAAGCAAAAGTCTCCCCTCTTGGGCAGGTCTGTGTTGGTCCTTGGGCCTTTGCAGTGCTGCTTCCTCGCATTTGAACCTCCTTGTCTCCTTAGGTGTGCCTGGCCCTGTGTCTATAGCAGAGGTCAGCAACGTAAGGCCCATGGAACCCCACCGCCCGCTCTGTCGGCTCCTATGCGCCACGCTAAACTGGCATGGAGCGGAGCGGGGACCGCCTTCCGCGATGCTGGCCAGCTTCCCATTGGCTGCGGAAAGCTCCTGCAGCCAATGGGAAACTGCGTGCACCTCATTGCGGAAGGAGCGCCGGAAATAGCGTTTGCGCATGTGTGCACACACACACACACTCCGGCTCGCCGCGGCATGTGCGAGACCGTGAACCGACCCAAGCCACAAAAACTTTGTGGACCCTTGGTCTATAGCTTTTA